CAGAGCGCTCTAACGGCATACTCGCGCTCTGATTGGTCCGGCGTTTTCTCTTAATATCTCTTTAACGAAGCCTCGTACAACATTTTCGCTAAGGAAAAAGTTGTTTCAAATCACCTCTCGAACTATCTCTTTCAAGGAGTTCCAACATTTTTGGACACCCTGTATAGCTAGCGCGCGCTCGCGCGAATCGCCCGACTGCTGGCCCGAAGCTTAAAAAGCGGGAACTTTTGGGGAATAAGTTCTTATTGTTTGTGGGGGCTGCACAGTGAATTAATAAAAGTTAATGATTTCAGGCAGCTTTTAATAGCCACTGAATTGAGAAATTTTTTAGGCTTCTTTCTATTATTATGAGTTAAAAATCTGCCTTACTATAAGTAGCTTCATATTTACAAGACTGATGTATGAGGAAATAATTGAGATAAAAATTTGAAATTTTTAGAGGTTCTTTCTGTTATTATAAGTAACATCTCTACCCAGTTTTAAATCCATTCATCAATTTTTACCCAAGTTATGAAATTAAAAGTAATCAATTGACAAATATTCCACGAAGCTTTACCACAAATAGATTCATATTTGCAAGGCTGATTTACAAAGAAATAATTCAGATAAAAATTGTAAATTATCAGGTGTTCTCCCTACTAAGTTAACTATTGTTTGGATATTCCTTCTCTTACTCTGTCTTCCATAATACATAAAGAAAGAATTGTGTTGACTATAGAAACGTCTTTCCCAATAAATTTAGACATTGGAATGGGAATCTCTTCTTAATACCAGAATATCTCCTTAAACCTACATAAATAAATGTGTAAATTCCACCCTCAAAAGTCCTTGGTTCGCCCTACACTTTACTAGCATTCAAAATTTCAGGAGTTCACGATAGAACCACATTTAAAAAAATAAAAATTTAGATATCCGAATAAGAAGAATCTGTCCTGCAACCTACATAAATAGATCTATAGATCCACCAGCCTAAAAAGATCACTCTACACTTCACCAGCACTAAAAATCTCAGGAATTAACAATAGAACCACTTTTAAAAAAATAAAAATTTAGATATTCGAATAAGAAGAACCTATCCTTCAACCTACCTAAATAAATCTATAAATCCTCCACCCTGAAAAGACCATGCTACCCCACCAATTCCCCATTATTCCAACATTCCATCATTCCTGAATTATTAAAAGCTTATCGACAATTTTTTCAGACGTATCATTACACAGGTAGGCGAGACACGCGATCCACCTTTCGATCCGGCGTGCGGTTTGACCTTGCTCCGTCGCGAAGTGGGTGACCTTCTGACCTAATCGTCGCTAATTTCATTTGCTAGCGTAGATTAGGTAACGCGAATCCCCGCGACGCAGCGTGGAAGCCGAGCGACGCGACGTCGCGCAACGTCCAGCGTCGTAGAGCTCCTGTCGCGCTCCAAATACCTGTCCGAGTCTACCTGACTCTACCCACCTGGCATGATTATGGCTCGTGGCATCCCACGTAGATCTAGCCACGGATCACGACGGGAGGACCTCGTGCTGCCATCGTGGGAATCCATTTTTCCCTCGATTTTTCTCTAATTTGCCTCTTATGGAGTTTTGCAGCGAAGGAAAACATTGAGTATCGGGGGATCCCCTCTTGTCGGAGTTCTGTAGGAGCGAAGAGGTCTCTTCTGGGCACTCTGCGTTGACCTCTTGAGGGTGGATCAGTTACAAGAGAGATTCTTCTGAAATATTGGAAGAATAGTATTAGAGAATTTGGCACAGTTAAGGGGTTAGGTTTGGTTTACACCATTTCTATCGTTTCTAAAAATCGAATTTTCTTTGTTTTTTTGATTAAAGTACTTTCTGTTAATTAGAAATCGATATCAACTTTGTAGGAACTCTTTAACCTCATTTTTCAATCAATCGGCTTGAGTCTCTGTTTATGTAATCTCCTTATGTTTTTCTAGCGAAATACGTAGGGTTTTTTTTTATATATGTTTTATGCAACTTACCGAAAAGTACAAAGTACCACAATTTTAAAGTTTAACCATTTTTTTGTTTAATATAATGATTATTTAATTTAGATAATTAATAAGTATTTGTTACACATGTTGAATAACCACCCTATTTACATACATACTTTCATGCTTTTTCATACATAACCTCATTTCTTTTACACGCATGCCAACCTCAGGCGCTCTTCACGAATACCAACATTCAAACATTTTCATCCTCATTCACTCTCATTCAAAACAAACTCTCATAGATATGAGGAAATAATTGAGATAAAAATTCGAAATTGTTAGGCCTTCTTCCTATTATTATGAGTACCATCTCTACCCAGTTTCAAATCTATTCATCAATTTTCATTGGAGCTAGAAAATTAAAAGTAACCGATTAACAAAAGTTTCATGAAGCTTTACTATAAATAGCTTCATAATTACAAGGCTGATGTATACGAAAATAATTGAGATAAAAATTTGAAATTTCTAGGCCCTCTTTTTACTATTATAAGTAAGAACTCTGCCAGTTTCAAATCATTCCATTAATTTTTACCCAAGTTATTAAATTAAAAGTAACCGACCAACAAAAGTTTCATGAAGTTTTACTATAAATAGCTTCATATTTACAAGACTGGTGTATAGGGAAATAACTGAGATAAACATTTGAAATTTTTGGGCCCTCTTTTTGCTATTATAAGTAAGAACTCTGCCCAGTTTCAAATCCTATCATCAATTTTTGTAGGAGCTAGAAAATTAAAAGTAACCGATTGACAAATATTTTATGAAGCTTTACCTTACAAATAAATTCATATTTACAAGGCTGGTGTATAAGGAAATAATTGAGATAGAAATCTGAAAGTTTTGGAACTTATTCCCATTATTATAAGTAACAACTATGCTAAATTTTAAATCGTTTCATCAATTTTCACAGGAGTTATAAAATAGATAGTGTCCTATTAAAAATAATTCTATATATTTTCCATTTAAAACTTCCCAAGTGTTTCTAGCACTTGTTAACGTTAAAATTGAGACCTCAAATTTTACAGAGAGTTTTGTTTACTATACATATTGAAAATGATAAGGACTAGTGAGAAAATTGCCTTGAAAACCTAAAAAACAAATGCAAACATCAAAATTCTCTAAATCAGAAGATGTCCCTGAAGAAACCTACCACCAAGATTCTCGAAACAACATCCTCTATAATTCTATATATATAATAATAATTCTACTATTTTCTATGTATTATTATTACTAATAATTCTATATATTTTTCATTTAAAACTTCTCAAATGTTTCTAGCACTTGTTAACATTAAACTTAAGACCTCAAATTTTACAGAGAGATTTTACTATACATTTGCAAAATAATAAGCCCCAGTGAGAGTTGCCTTGAAACCCTAAAAAACAAATGCAAACATCAAAATTCTCTAAATCACAAGACGTCCCTGAAGAAAGCTATCACTGACATCCTCGAAACAACATCCTCTATAATTCTATACACATAATAATAATTCTCACATTTGCAAAATAATAAGGAGCAGTGAGAGAATTGCCTTGAAACCCTAAAACAAATGCATACATCAAAATTCTCTAAATCAGAAGACGTCTCTGAAGAAACCTACCACCAAGACCTCGAAAAGACATCCTCGAAACAGTCCAGCAAGACTGTTACTTAAAATTAACGGTACAGACACCTCGATACCGGAACTGGATGTTGCAGGAGATCGCCGATTCGTGGAAAGGTTGGGTAATTACGTGAACAGTTACAGTTGGCGCGCACAAGTGGCGATGACTGAGAAAATTACATGGTACTCACCAGTACTCATAGAACGCTCCCGACGAGTCCTAGTACGCTATCGACCCGTAATCAGGCGTGGTAAAAACGGTGGCTGGTTTTTCGACACCGTCTATCACCGGTGGACGGAACTCGCGGTTGCGGGGACGGTGGCGAACGAATGCGGAACCACATGCGCCGTCGACGACAGCCCGCGAGAGACTGCGAGAGACTGTCGAGCAATCACGACGCATCCGTCTTCGACTTGGATAGGCAAAACGCATGGATGGATGGATAGCGATCGGGGAATTACCGCCACGGAGCGGCCGACTCGGGGCTTCTCGCGCTATTTCGCATCGAAAATCATCCCTTTTATTAATTAGGTTATTTTGTATAGCTTTATGGAGATTTTTTTGTAAATGGAGAATTGCTTGGTATTTTTTTGAAGATACGAAGATATGTTACTAGAAGAAACTGTTTGGATTAGGGTAGGGGGGGGGGCGGTATGATAGACAAAGAAATGATTTGTAGGTTATGTTTTATTAAATTTCAAAGTTATCAATGTTTTTTTAAATGGATGTAGGTATTTTCAATATTGGAGGTGATAAAAAGACGAATAGGTGATAAAATGACGAATTCAAAGGTGTATAATAAGGTGACCTTCAGGTGACCTTGAGAGGAGTGAAATATAAAGGAGAGTTGAAGCTGGAATATCAGCGTTATTTTTAATTATATGGAAAAATGATACTGACAGAAATTCTTCGGTTTCTAAGGGAGAATATTACCATGTGCACAAAAAATATTACAAGGTCATATTTGATTAAATTTCAAGGTCATCAATGTTTTTCTTAAATGGAACTAGGTATTTTCAATATAGTAGGCTTGTAGGTGATAAAAAGACGAATTCAAAGGTGTATAATAAGCTAACCTCCAGGTGACCTTCAGGTGACCTTGAGGTGACCTTGAGAGGAGTTATTGTTAAAGAATCAAGGAGAGTTGAAGTATCTGCGTTATTTTTAATGATATAGAAAAATTGTTCCAACAGAAATTCTTCAGTTTCTAAGGAAGAATATTTCCATGTGCACAAAAAAATATTTCAAGGTCGTATTTTCTGAAATTTCAAGGTCATGAATGTTTTTCTTAAATGGAACAAGACACTTTTAATATTACAGTATTGTAGCTGATCAAAAGAGAAATTCAGACATGTATAGTATATTAACCTTCAGGTGACCTTGAGAGAAGTGATTGTCAAAAAATAAAGGAGAGTTAAATCTGAAATGTCCTTATTATTTTTAATGATATGGAAAAATTCTTCGAATAAATCTGAATTTTGTCTATATGTTTGTCTCGTTTCCTCTTTTCAACATTTCCCCAAAGAAGGATTCGCATTGCGTGGCGCGACGATTTTGGGTATTGGAGAAGATTCGCCGTTGCTCCGTCGGAACCTTGAATTTCCAAGGTCTAGGCGTCGTTCCCACTATTCTTAGTACGCTGCACGCATAGACGTCGCTACGCTTCCGTGACGACCTACAATGCAGCGCGAGAAAATGTTCTGTCAGTTTCTTGTCTTCATCGCACCGTGACACGAAACTGTGTCGCCTCGGGCACTCTAAGCAAGCCTAAGTCAACGTGTCAGCTGCTGACACGTTTTTTCAATTTTCCTTCAGTTATCCTAGCTGATCGTAGCACGCTTACAAATAAACATGGTTCATTTAATGTTGCAGCGCTTTAGACCATGTTTCTTTTTTTTTTATTAAGTGTAGGAATTAACTATGTGGCTTTACAAGCTAAAGGTTTATCGGTACACTTAGATCTTAACCTGATGGACATTACAATGAATTAGTATAACTAGGTCAACACCTGTTGATCATTACAGTGCATGAATATACGTACCTTATGTCTCAAATTAATGGTTATTACGGTGAATCAAAATACTTACGTAGCTTATGTCTCAACCTGATGCACATTACAATGAATCAATATATATATGCTATATATGTGCTATGTCTCAATCTATTAGCCATGGGAATGCATCTATATGAAGTTTGGTAGGTCCCAACCTGATGGACATTACAATGAATCAATATAACTAGGTCAACACCTGTTGCTCATTACAGTGCATGAATATATGTACCTTATGTCACAAATTAATGGTTATTACGGTGAATCAAAATACACAGTTTATGTCTAAATCTGATGGACATTATAGTGAATCAATGTAACTAGGTCTCAACCTAATGGTCATTGTAGTGTATCAGTGAATAAATATATATTCTACCTCTTAATCAATTGGGTATTCGAATGCATCTATATGAAGTTTACTAGGTCTCAATCTGATTATTCAACTTCCATTGCAGTGGATCAATATGTATCAATATACATAATCCATGTCTCAACCTGATTATTCAACCTCCATTTCAGTGGATCAACATCCATAATCTACACATGTCTCAACCTGATGGTCATTCCACTGCATCCGCAACAAGTTTACAAGGTACACTTCCAATTTTTGGTATGGATCAATAGATTCTATTTTCCTTGAGATGTTTGGACTATGAGAAAATTCAAATTTAAATTAGAGTTTAAACTAGAGTTACAAAAAAGCTGTATGATAATTGAAGAAAAATTGCAACACAGACATAGTTACATGGAAATTTCATGTGATCAATTCGACGTTGCGTTATCGTTCTTGGAACGGTTGGTTTCGACACAGCTATGGTGTTAATGCTTGGTCTAATTTTCTAGGATAAATTGGTCGATGCGTTATTAGCGACGTATCTTATCTAGCCCGTGCCCGAATACCATATGTCGAATGATAGAGTTTAGTGGGCTACAGATTACCACCCTAACCCCTAGAATATCAGAATGAGGCCTACTGTAACATAGAATTGGGCAGAAATGGTTTGGAATAACGCTGTATAGCGACTTCTACGGGATCCAATTAGGCAAAGTATGCTATTTTAATCAGAGCCGAGCTGACCAGGTGAACGGTTACGTATAGAACGTTTCACCTTATCAACCCTGTCCAGTTCCAGTTTACTTGACCCAAAACGGTCTAGGGCTAGGCCTGAGTATACTGCATCGGCATCTAGGTTATGTTTGGAACTATATAAACAGCATTTCCCTGCAAGTTCGTGTCTAATTAACCTGAAATGCTGCAAAGTTGATATTAAATCTTCCAAATATTTCTTTATGTTTAAATACTTCAAACAAGGTTCTATGACGTATCAAGGTCTCGGAAAGGTTTTAAATGGTTCTAAATTGCATTTCGATTTAAATTGAAAAAATTGAAGGTTATGTAGGTTTCACGAGAAGCTTTGTTGAAGTATACAAATTTTGATAATAATTGTTATTTAATAATTGTTATTCAATAATTGTTATATATTTTTTTTAATGGTTCATAATTTCGGTTGTTATAACGTATGTAAGTTTCAACAATTTTCTAAATTGCATTTAATTTAAATTAACAAAGTTCAACGTGAAAATCTGATGTTCCATAAGGAACCGTGTTAAAATTACAAAACTTTGATATTGTTTTTCGTAAAATTAGGACGGTTAATAATTGTTATTTTTTTTTAAGTGATATATATAATAATAATAATAATAATAATAATAATAATATAACAATCAACCAGCTAAATTCTATATATTCGAAATATGGCAGTTTTCAAAAATAGGTATAACAATATAAAAGTAGTACATAATGTAGTCCGCCACCTCCGAGAATCTGTTTTACCGACAGGGTCTGGCTACAAAGCAATATGGCGTCGAAAGTGTCAGTCAAATACGGTAAAATGCCAATTTTGACTGCTCATAACTTCTGAAATAGTGGATTCCTCGCATGGAAACTAGCATTTTTTGATTCCACTCTACAGGGAATCTACAGGGAGAAATCTACAGGGTGTCCTAAAAATATTGTAACACATTGAAAGAGGTGGTTCGTGAGGCGATTTGAAACAACTTTTTCCTTAGCGAAAATGTTGTCCAAGGCTTCGTTAAGGAGATATTAGGAGAAAACGCCGGACCAATCAGAGCGCGAGAATACCGAAGGAGGGCAGTCGCCTAGCGCGTAGTCCACGCCTACCGCGGCCGCTCCACTGACATCCTCGCGCTCTGATTGGTCAATGTTTTTCGTTAGTATCTCCTCAACGAAGCCTCGTACAACATTTTCGCTAAGGAAAAAGTTGTTTCAAATCACCTCCCGAATCACCTCATTCAAGAACTTTCAACATTTTTGGGACACCCTATATACACGTCGAATTGAGTAACCTCCTCCTTTTCGAAGTCGGTTAAAAATATATATTATAAACTAACATTCTGAACATCACGACCACCTGTTCTCAGTAGTCTCGCTTCCAGTAACCAGTAATTAATCCCTAGCGTAATTTTTCAGCTCACAGGTGCTCACAGGTGCAGAGCGTGGAGTCCATGGAGTCCACGCCATGGACCAAGCGGGCTAAACCAGGCTAGACTGTTTAGCTAGATGCACCGGCGAGTGCATCATCGCTCGCTAGTACTGCCAAACTAGAGCGGCGGCGTGCTAAAGATAGGTCACGCGGCGCGAGGGGGCAAGGGCGACCTTGGCCTTACAAGTTTATATAACGAGGAAGCACGAGAATCGCCAGCTCAGTCGCGACCGTTTCGTTTCGATCCATCGATGCCAGCCCGTGTACCGTAAATCCGCGCTTCCTCGCTCTGCCACCTGGCGACTGATGGATTTTAGTGAATCAGATCAGTGGATTAGGATCAGTGGATTAGGATCAGTTCTGAAGTTTTAAATATTGGGTTTCTATGTGATACCACCTTCTTCTTTCTTCTGAGAATATTTCTCCCTAGGAAACTACTCTTTTTAGAATATCCTATACCCTGAATATTCCATCCTGAATATTCTACTCTTCCTCTTCTACCTTGAAGAGGTTGACCTAGGCCCCCTTTCCTAGATCCCTTGGTTCCTACTTCCCTGGTTCCTAGTGGAAACTTTTCTGAGTGGACGAAATGAGAAAGAAATTGAGTGGTTTGTGAACAACACAGGTTCGGAGACACAGAGTGTGGTTATTTCAAGACTTTATTTCAAAACGTCCAAGTGACTTCCTAAGAAGTGACTTCTATCCACTCTTCTCTATCCACTTCAAGCATCCAAGTGTGCCCCGAGGGGGAAGGAACATCGTAGTAACACTTGCAATTAGTCCGAACCGCGACCCTGATGAGTAGCGAGCAGCGTTTCCGGTACGCGATGTAAACACATGCTTCTAATGCGCAGACGTCGCTGCTCTGCTCCATAACTAGATGGTAATTGAAACCATTCCCGGAGTCTCTGGAAATACGACGAAATTAAATATAAAGGTATGATGATGATAATTTCGTGCGGTAATCCTAAGCTTCGTCTTTGTGTATATTTTAAGGTGAATTGGGAACCACTGTAATTCCTTATTTCTCCACTATGTTAGTTTTTTTTGCTCTT